AAACAAAAAAAAAGACCGAAAATTAAAATAAAAAACACAATATTTTTTACTTTTGGCTATAAAAAATATATAGTAAACTCAAAGTTAGTCATAAATTTAGGCCAAAATGCATTCTGCTACATGTTTTTGGTAAAAAAAAAAAACTATGGTATAGATACTAAAGATGCACCGAAATTTCGGTGGCTGAAAATTTCGGTGAAAAAAAAAAACAAAAAACAGATACAAGTGCCAAAAAAACCCCGCCCCCCGCCCCTCGGTAGTTCTCAGCCTTACCCGAAAAACCATCAAACGATCCCGGACCTGGGCATAGAGATGAGTGAAGGAAAGATGGCCTCCACTCATCTCTATACCCTTGGAGGACCAGAGTGATGTCACTTCCGGTTCTGCACTTTTTGTTTTAAAGCACTAGATCAATGTTTTTTTTTTTTTTTATCAAATGCTTTACATTGCAGAGAGATGTGGGGTCTTATTGACCCTATATTTCTCCATAAAAAGGACCTGTCACTAATTATTTCTATCACAAGGGATGCATACATTTCTTGTGATAAGAATAAAAGTGATTAAAAATGTTTTCAAAGGGACAGTGCAAAAAAAAAAAAAAAATTAAATGAAAAAGTTTAAAGTGCCCCCATCCCCCCCGTGCTTGGATGTAATGGTGACGCATACATAGGCCATGCCCACATATGTAAATGATGTTCAAACCACATACTGAGGTATCGCAACAAACGTCAGAGCAAGAGCAATAATTCTCGCACTAGACCTCCTGTAAATTTATACTGCTAACCTGCAGAATTTTTTTAAAGCATTACCCATGGAGATTTTTTAATTTTACGCCATTCCACGAGCATGCGCAATTTTAAAGCGTGACATGTTGGGTAACTATTTACTCGCTGTAACATGCGCTTTCATATTTTATAAAAAACTTGGGGTATATATTGTTTGTTTTTTGTTTTTTTTAATCAAAGTGTATTTAATTTCCACAAAATATATATTCATTTTTAAAAATTGCGCATTTCGGTTTAAGTTTTTGGCCAAGTGCATTCTGAATTTTAGTTTTTGGTTTCGGCACCAGAATTTTCATTTCGGTGCACCACTAATAGATACTGCAATTTTTCGCCATTTTTTTGCTATACAGTGCTGCATTAGTTTAACTGGCAATTGCGTGGTCATGCAATGCTATACATAAAATAAATTTCTGTCCTTTTTTTTTTAAACAAGTAGAGCTTTCTTCTGGTGGTATTTGATCACCTGTGCGCTTTTTATGTTTCGCACTATAAATAAAAAAAGACCGAAGATTTTGAAGAATAATTATATTTTTTTACTTTTGTCTATAAAAAATATATTGTAAACTCAAAGTTAATCATAACTTTGTCATAAATTTAGGCCAAAATGTATTCTGCTACATGTCTTTGGTAAAACAAATCCTAATAAGTGTATATTGATTGCTTTGTGTGAAAGTTATAGCATCTACTGTAAAAACTATGGTATAGATAATGGAATTTACAAAGCTTTTACTTTCTGACTGCCTATCACATTTCTTTAGGTGCTAAAACACCAGGACAGTACAAACACCCCCAAATGACCCATTTTTGGAGAGTAGACACCTTAAGCCATCTGCTGAGAGGCATATTGAGTCCATGGAAGATTTATTTTTTTCCCCATAAGTATTTGAAAAATGACAAAAAAACATTTTTTTTTTTTTTTTTTACAAAAAGTTGTCACTTTAATGATATATTGCTCACACAAGCCATGGGTATATGTGGAATTACACCCCAAAATACATTCTGCTACTTATACCGAGTATGGGGATACCACATGTGTGAGACTTTTTGGGAGCCTAGCCACATACAGGAGCCTGAAATCCAATGACCTTTGAAAGCCTGAAGCTGCGTAATTTCCTCATTTCACTTCCTCACTACCTGTCACAGTTTTGGAGGCCCTGAAATACCAGGATAGCACCAAACCCCCTCAAATGACCCCATTTTGGAAAGTAGACAACCCAATGAATTTAAAAATTGGCATGGTGAGTTTTTAGCAGATCTCATTTTTTCTCACAAGGTTTTGAAATATACAAAAAAATAAAGAAAAAATATTATTTTGTCTTTTTTCTTCATTTTCCAAAAACTTGTGGCAACAAATTAGATCTGCAAACACTCACCATGCTTCCTATCAAATTCCTTGGGGTAACTACTTTCCAAAAAGAGGTCATTTGGGGGGGGGGGGGGTTGATGCTATCTTGGCATTTCAGGGCCTCTGAAACTGTGACAGGTAGTCAGGAACTGTAATGAGGAAATAAAGCCCTTTAAAAGCCTGAAGGTGTTGATAGGATTTTGGGGTCCTGTACTTGGCTAGACTGCCAAAAAGTCTCTCACGTGTGGTATCCCCATACTCGAGAGAGTATTTTGGGGAGTAATTCCACACATACCCATGGCATGTGTGAGCAATAAATAATTTAAATGACGATTTTGTGTAAAAAAATATTGTTTTCTTTGTCATTTTCAAAAAACTTGTGGTAAAAAAATAAATTCTTCTATTGACTCAACATGCCTCTCAGCAAATAGTTTGGGGTGTCTACTTTCCAAAAAGGGGTAGTTTTTGGGGGTGGGGGCATTTTATGTACAGCATTAGAAGTTTATGCCACACATCACTCACTCTTCTAACCACCTGAAGGCCTTTTCTGACACTATTTGTTCACATGAAAAAAAATCTGTATTTTTTGCTAGGAAATTACTTTGAATCCCCAAACATTATAATTTTTTTAAAGCAGACACCCTAGTGAATAAAATAGTGGGTGCTGCAATTTTTTATGTCACATAGTACTCATGCAGCGATTTTTCAAACTCAAATTTCTTTGAAAAAATACACGTTTTTTACCTTTAATGCACAAAAACACAATATATTGGCCAATTATTTGGTAAAATATAAACAATTATGGTATGCCGAGTAAACAGATACCAAAGATGACATGCTTTAAAATTGTGCATGCCCCGTGCAATGGTGACAAACTGCATACATTTTTTATATCCATAGGCAACGCATAAAAGGTCTTTACAAGCTACCATTTTAGATTTACAGAGGAGGTCTAGAGCTAGAATTACTACCCTTGATCTCACGTTTGCTGCAATACCTCACATGCATGGTGCAAACGCTCTTTACATACTGGCACAGCGTTAATGCTCGTGCACATGCGGGGGGAGGGGCGCAAGGGTGCTGCTTTCTTTTTTTTTTTTATTATTATTTTTACACTGTCTCTTTCTTTTTTTTTTTTTTTTATAACTTTTAATGCTATCACAGGGAATGCAAATATCCACTATAACTTCAATGGCATTGTCATATATTCTTTTTTGAGAAATCTGGGGTCTATCAGACTCTAGATCTCTCCCTCTGCCCTTACATTATCTAATCTCACCAAGATTGGTGTGATCAGATGCTTTCCCAATTTACAAATGGCGCGGTTCATATTCTGCGAAACTGAAGTGATGAAATGCTTGTAGCTTCTGATTTCTTAGACTATAGAGATGATTGGCACCATTCTGGTCTCCAATCAGCTCTATAGTCAGCTGGCAGAAACACCAGCTGCATTCTCAGGCTCCCCTCGATGGCACGGGACTACCCGAGAAGGCCGTGAAAGGCAGCGGGGGGGGAGGGGGGGCATCTTCTCACGCTGCTTGTAAAAGCAATCCTGCAGCGAATTAGGATTGCCTTTACATGTAAGCCAATCACCAGCTGATCATCCTGGTATAACCCCTAAAAATCCAGTTATATAATCAGTACGTCTTTAGTCCTTGTTGTGTGTATATACTATGTTCTTTTTTTTTTATGCAGCCTGTGGGCTGACTGAAAAAAAGAAAAGAAATGTCTGCCAGAAAAAGTGTGTGGTATACCCACCATTGGAATATACCACCCTGCATCCACCCACCTCTAATGGTGGGCACACATGAAATGTACCAAAAAATATACTGTATATGCCGAAGCAAAGGGGCCATGCACCCACTAGCCACCCCAGGCCCCATGCTTCGGCATATATGCTCTTTTTTTAACTGCAGATGAAAAATCTCATCCAACAGCACTGCACACACCTAGTTATGTATATTTTCAGAGCAAGACCCTGTTGCTGTCAGAATAAACAAGTTAGTGCTACAGCTGAATGAAATCCTCATTTCTAAAGCAGGATTTTTCCCCCTAAGACAGGTATTTACAAGCCGTTGGCGATTAGGTCGCACGGTACCACATCCGCCAATTCCAAGATTGTACAAATGTCTAAATAGTGGCATGCTTGAATAAAAATTGTCCAGTGGTACCACATATGGAAAAAGGATGGCACCAAGTCCCAAAATATCTTGCCACTGCTCTCCATGTAGTCTGGGCATCTGGGGGGCTCCACGTGACTATCTTTTCCCTCAAAAATCCAAAACGTATATGTATAGCCTGCTGCCCTCTCACAGATCTTATACATCTTGACCCCATATCTGGCACACTTGCTGGGGAGAAATTGTTTGAATGCAAGGCGACCAGAAAAATTAATGAGGGACTCATCAGGCAGATGTTTTGCTTGGGAGTATAGACATCTGCAAATTTTTGGTTAAGGTGATTTACAAGGTGCCGAATTTTGTGGAACTGGTCAAATTCAGGGTCACCCCGAAGACGACAGAGTGTGTTGTCATTGAAATGCATAAAACACATTATACTCTCATATCTATGCCTGGCCATGGCAGCAGAGAACACGGGCATATGATGAATCGGGTCTGTGGACCAATACAACCGCAATTAATTTTCTTTAGTTATGCCTATGTTGAGGGTTAGGCCCAAAAAAACTTTAAATTTGTAAACCGTAATGGGTTTCCATGTGAGTGGTCTGGCAAGGTTTGAATTTGGGTTGGTGGTGATAAACTGTTGTGCACATAAATTGCTTTGATCCACAATCAATGCGTACAGATCTTCCATCAAAACAGCTCCAAAAAATCAAGGTGAGTAGATAAATTTTCTGTTTCCACTGGAATTCCGGGTTGGGCAGTGAAGACGTCGCTGTGCGAAGCAGCATTATGTCACTTCCGGGTCCGGGGATGTGGCGTTCAGCCATAGCGAGTGCGAGGCTTGGAGCGCACGTCTGCCATATTCAACTTTTACAGGCTGTAGTTACTGGTGCCGGTACAATAGGCATCGCTTCATGTGAGTGTACATCTGATTATTTTTATTCACAATGTCAATTCAATAAATGCTACACTTAAAACGGTCTTAAATCTGTTTGGTTTATCTGAGCGCTTTTGCACCACTTCTCCTCAAGAAAGGATTGGCCCGCATTGAATACACAGACACATTGGAGAGTTTGCTGTTAACCCTATTGCCATAGCTTTGGGCTTGTCCAATGTAGAGCTGTTGAAGGAGAGAAACACCCTAGGAAAACCAGAAAGGATGGCTCCATACATTACCAAAATGTGCATTTGAGCACCTTAACTGGGGTCAAACAGTCTGGTGAGTGAGCAATTCACTTATACCCTGTTGGCATGTGGTGAAGATATTTATACACCTTTACAGGTCACAGCAGTGGAGTAGAAAGGACTGTCACTTCTCTAATATATATAGTCTCTTATGGACTTTTAATTTGCATATATATGTAATAGGATAATATAGCACCTCTAATGGTGTAATATATTAAGACGCTTGGATTCACCTGGGGGGGTGTGTTGTGAACCAGGCTTCTTTTACAAATGTATGCACACTGTATTTGCTTAGCACCTGTCTATTTATAATTATTAGTTTGCACAAGTGGGTCTATCCATTGTATAGAGGCAGATGCAAATCTTACGACACCTAATATATTTTGTTGGTGTTATTAGGTACACTAGGCGCTATAATAATAATTTTACAAATTCAGTGTTTGCGTCCAAGATCCTGGGTCTTTCCAGCAGGACAATGACCCCAAACATACGTCAAAAAAGCACTCAGAAATGGAATGGCAAAGAATGCGCTGGAGAGTTTTGAAGGTTGAGCCCAGATCTAAATTTGAACACCTGTAGATCTTAAAATTGCTGTTTGGGAAAAAGGGGTCTTATTCCTTCCAATTAAGAGAGACCTGGAATGGGGTTGCTCCCATAATAATAATTTTAAGGGTGCCCAAAAAATACAGTTAGTCCCAATTGAGACATAAAGTCCATATTTTGCTTTTCTGCCACTGATGCTGCTGCAGAATTTGTGGGCTACCAATCGGGATTTGCAAGCACATCCAGAAGGATACTAGGGGCTCTACGGGCCTGTGTACGAATTCTTGGTGGGCTGCGGGACTCTACTTGTGCTCGCCACTGCACCAGCTTGTACTGTACTTATGGGACTTGCCATGTCACCAAGTGATACTGCAGTGCTGGTATGTGAAAGACCAGGATGTTCTAGGCTGCTGGTGCTCACCAGTTCATCAAAAGGTAGAGCGGCACTAGTACTGGCACTCTGCTGCATATGAGAGTCATCATGCGATTGCAACATCTCAGCAACCTGGGAACGGGGACGAGTATGCCTGATCTTAGCAGGGACCTCTTCTCCTACATCTGAGCTATCTGTCAAGGCACCGCTGCTGTCTACAGGTTCAAATTCCGAGGCTGATTGTGTCATTGAGTCTTCCGCTTCGCTCTCATCTGACATGCTCAGAATCCTGTAGGCCTCTTTACTAGAGTACCTTTCCTTTGACATTTTGGCCACTAAATTTCTAGGTACCTAATGTGACTCACGAGCAAAAGAGCACCTGGTTGTCAGGGACTGCTTGAACCGCTACAAAACAATTTACAGGCAAGTGCTAACAGAGATCATGCCTGATTCTACAAACACTGCGGTTTTGTGTGCAATGTATCAAGTGACAGTGACCTACTGACACTGCACTTGCTGGGGGAGAAGGGGGGGGGGGGGTAAGCATAGGAGCTAAATGCAGGTGCTGGCAGGTGCCGGGGCTGATCCCGCTAGTGCTGTGTTTTAGGGGACACTATACTAATGTGAACACTGGAATAGTGCTGATCTGATCAAAGATATTGATCAGTTCACTAGACACTAGACTAGCAATGGAGGATTCTTGTGTATGTGAGCGTGTTCCTGGCAATCAAGGGGTTAAATATGATTACTAGTGTACTGACGGCCAATCTGACGCTATCTGGGAGGGGCACGAAAACCACGGGAGTGCGGATCACATATATATATATATGTGATTTTGCACAACCGGGCCACCCTGTAGCAGTATTTCTACTATAGGGCGGCATGGAAGCGGTTAAACATGTCCAGTAAAAAAAATATAAAAGAATAAAATTTTGTCATACATTTAAGCCAAAATGTATTCTGCGACATATCTTTGCTAAAAAAAATCCCAATACGTGTAAATTAATTGGTAATCACTGGGCACCGGATGGTAATCACCGGCCAGGACCCGGTGACTGACAGCCATGGCCGCAAATAGCGGCACGGGTAGGGCTTGCTCACCCCTATATATACACGTGATTTTGCACACCCGTACCGCCCTGTAGCAGTATTTCTGTTATAGGGCAGTCGGGAAGCGGTTAATGGAGCAGATGGGCATAAATGGAGGGCATAGTTAGGCCCTCTTGATTTACACCTGTAACAGATTCTTTATTCTATTACCCCTCACCGCATCGGAACATTACAGCAGTTAGGGTGTGAGGGAGCATCAGAGGAAGATTTTGATGAAAGGAGAACACAGCAGCACAACGGACACCTCTCACTGTAGATATACTACATTGTCAAAAGTACTGGCGTGCCCGCCTTTACATGCACAGCAAATTTAATGGCATTCTGGTCTTAGTCTGTAGGGTCCAATATTGAGTTGTCCCACCCTTTGCAGCTATAACAGCTTCAACTCTTCTGGGAAGGCTGTCCACAAGGCTTAGGAGTGAGTCTATGGGAATGTTTTGACCATTCTTCCAGAAGCGCATTTCTGATCACTGGGATTGTGTCTAAAACTGACAGGCAGGATCCTGCCTGTAGGTGGAAGCAGTCAGGCGGTCCCACTGCCGCTGATTGCTTTCACAGTCCCTGGTGATGTTGTTCCACCGGGCTCCACTTGCCCACTCCCATTCTGCTCGTCCACTCCCCTCCCATTCTTTGTGTGACCTGGAAGGCAATCTCCATGATGTCATTTCGGGTCACAGCTGTCAGCTGTCACTTTTCCGACTACAATAGTGTGTATTGCAATGACGTCTAATGGATCACAGAGGAGACATGCCAGGTCTTTTAGACTATGTGTTGAAAAAAAAAAAAGTTTAAACCTAAGCACATAACTTTCAACCCCCAAAATTCTTTTATGCCCCCCCCACATATACGCATGTACGAACGTAAACACACACGTTGGAGCGCCTATGCGTGAAAACAACGATTACGATACACGTTACATATCGCTGCACAAGCCGGAGTGAGAGCAATAATTCTAGCACCAGACCTCCTCTGTACTGCTAAACTGATGACCTATAGGGGCTTTTGAAGCGTCGTCTATAGAAAATACAGGGTACTCGAGTTTGAAGCAATTTCATATGTGCACACAAATTTGAGGTTTGGCATGTTGCGTATCTTTTTACTCAGCACAACCTCATCTTTTATATTTTACCAAAAATTCTGGTAATTTATTGCATTTGTTTGCCCTAAAATTCACTTTAGTGTGATTTTTACAGAAATTTTGTGTTTCCTAGACTTTTGCAATAATATCGTGTAGCATAAAAAAATTGCAACTACCACTATTTTACTTTCTAGTGTGTCTGCTTTCAGAAAATATATAATATTTGGAGGTTTTGTGTTATCTTCAGGCCTAACATTATTTTTTTAAAGGTGTGAAAAAAATGCAAAAATGGCTCTGGCAGCGAAAGAGTTAAATTATGTAATGGAGCATACACGACTTTTAAAAAAAAAAAGAAATAAGGATCTCTAGGTTCACACTTATGCAGCTCTGTGAGCCATGTTTATGCAGGTACGGCAGTCCATTTATTTAAATGCGCTGCTGTGCCTGCATTTCATGCAGCAAAAAGGTTCCTGCACCATCTTTAAAATGCAGGAGCAGAAAAATAGCATTGTGCTTTTGAATCATGCGGTTTCCTGGTGGTTTCTGTACCCACAAACTCACTGCATTTCTAGATGCATGGGGGTGTCATTAACAACAAATGGCAGCCCTGTGTGTCTGTGAAAAAGCAGTGCGTTTTTGACTGCGGGTACCAGATCAGCTGTGATTCCCTCAACCGTAAGTGTGAACCTAGCCTTAAAGAGTGTAAGGGGAGGGGGATTAACACCTGTGAAAATGATTTCTAATGTCCCAATGCAAAACATAGTAGTACTAGTAGAATCCCAGTAGCACTCCATAATCACACTGAAAGTTGGATCGCAACAGGGTGAACTTAGACTTTTGATGTTTGTTGTGCTTATAGTTTTAAACACTAAGGGTATAGGTAGGGTTTATTGCTGGAAAATACAAAATTTTGATTGATGATGCAAATGGCAATTCATCTTAAACAAGGATATAGTGTGTGCTAGCTCTAGCTCTGGATCTGAGAGATTATATTCAGTTCAGCTCCAGAACATTCTTTTTAGTTTTCGCATACATGTAAAAATCTCAGTTTTTGACAATAAAATTACTAAAACCCCCAGAAGAGTATATATTTTCTGAAAGCAGAGACCCTGTAGAATAAAATGTGATGGTTGCAAATTTTTTATGCCACATGATATTTGCGCAACTGTTTTTTTTTAAACACAAATTTTCAGGAATAAATATAATAAAATGAATTTTAGTGCAAAAACACAGTAGGATACCCATTTTTGGTTAACATATGAGGTTGATTTGAGTAAACAGATACCACACATTCCATGTCTTACAATTGTGAGCGCCCATGATATTGCCAAAAACTACAGTGCCCAACAATCACCACAGGTGACACTTTAAAAGTGTTTACTGCTCATCAGTTTAGAGATAACTAGGAGCTCTTGTACTAGAAGTATTGTTCTCACTGTGACGTTTGTGGCAATATGTCATAAGTGTGGTGCGACCACGGTTTACATACACGTGCACACCCTGGGCTTGTGTTTTCGGAAGTGTACAGGGCAATGAGGGTTACTGCAATTTTTTTTTTTATTTTAATATATTTTATTATAATTTTACGTTTTAAAACCTCTCTTTTTTATGTATTTATTTTTACTTTATTGCTATGAGAAAGGGTTAATAAACCCCTATTTGATAACATTGGGCAGGTGACAGTTACTCTTTATGGAGACATTAGGGGTCTAATAGACCCCAATGTTTCCCCTGCCCTTCACACCATCTAACCAAGCACAAATCAGCTCAGTTAAATATGTCCTCTGGCTGTACAGGCCAGGAAAGGGTGCATCTGAAACTGGAAGTAACATCACCTTTGGTTTCACGGTTTCCATGTGAGATTGAGGAATAGCTTTGCCTCGGTTTCAAAGCGTTCTTCCTCTAGTCGGCGGTTGTGTTACCAGGCTTTGGTAAGAATGGAGATCCCCGGAACCACGGGGGGAGGGAGGCCCACTGGGTGGGAGGCGCACCACACTGCCAGATCTGTGAAAATGAATGGCAGCTATGGAGCTGCCGTATCAATTTCACATTCAAGCCAGCAGCTGGCTGAACAAAAAACACAAAAGCCGATGGCTGCTACTGCAGCCATCAGCTTGTGATTAAAGGTTCACTCTTTGGACATACGTAATACGTCCAAAGAGCTGAACTGGACATCCAGAACTTTTAAGCAATGAAAATTGTAGGCACCAAGTCCAGGACTTGGAATTTATTAAAGGTGCGGAAGGAAATATAATTTGGGCAATTTGAATAAATTAATGATCCTATATTGTAAAATACTATATTATGCATACTGTACAGAAACAAAGCATATATGAAACTAAGGCTTGGGAGCAATAAACATGGTTTTTATTCAATTAGGTAGGTTCATGAGAATAGAAAGAAAAAAGTCCAAAATGTACATTCTATATAATCTCTGTAGATTATGCAAGTATACTGTATGGCTGATCACAATGTTACAAAGTTCAAACCTAAAAAGATCAAGAAAGTCAGATTCCAATGACAGGTGTCCATAACAGCTAACAGAATCATTGGTGAGATACAGTAAGTGTTGGCCAGAAATGGTGGGACAAGTGAGGAAATTTTAATGGGACAAGCAAGTGCGATTTGTAAATTGTTTTGCAAAGTGTAGTTGCAAAAAATAATAAATGATCTGTTACTTTACATTGCTTGTATCATCATCATATTCCAAATCTCTTTTGCTATGACATGTCTCAGAGCTGTGAACCTTCTTTTTATTATATAAAAAGCTCTTATGGCAAAGGTCAGTCAACAGGAGTATAATGTCTGTCTAATGGAGAAGAAGAAGAGACACCGCGCTCTCACCACCTGTGCAATCCTGTGTATGGTGGATGGTCTCAGCAGTCACACCGGCCACTCCCACTGACGCATTTCGCCCCCCCCACCTTCGGGGCTTGATCACAGAGGACTGCAGGACAACAGGCACTCTAGGCTTTTATATGCATCATTGGCCGTAAAT